ATAAATCCATACCATTCTCGTAGAATCATCGATAAATGTAACATAATATAATGAGCCGCCAAGAGATGAAACTGGAGAAGGCCCCCATACGTCTGTATGAACCAATTCTAATTTCTCTATCTTAGGTGTCCTATCAACCTTTAAAAAACTGACCCTCTTCTGTTTCCCAAAGATACAGTCCTTACACAAACCAACTTCAACTGATTTAATACCCGATAGTTCTCCTTTCGACAGAAGTACCTTCATCCCCTTCTCACTCATATGACCTAGTCTACAATGCCACAGGTTTGAATCTGCGCCAGCATCAGCAACAACAATGGCGTTCTTAGTGTTCGTTGTCATGTATAGAGTACCCGTCTTGCTTCCACGAGCCATGACCAAGGATCCTTTGGTGATTTTCCACAAGCCACCCATAAAATTAACTGCGTGCCCATCTTCATCAAGTTGTCCCACAGAGATCAAATTTCTCTTCAAGCCAGGAACATGCCTCACATTCTGAATCTTCCATACAGCCCCATTAGGTTGCCTGATCCGAACATCACCTTTACCCATAATATTCAAAGGCTCATCATCAGTTAAATAAACCTTTCTGAAATCACCAATAACATAGTTTTTCATGATTTCATAGTGCGAGGTAGAGTGAAAGGATACTCCTGAGTCTAGAACCTAAGACTCAATTAAACTATTTACACTCAAAATTAGAGCATCACCAATATCTTCTCTGACGGCGTTTACAGATTCCTATTTTCCTTTGCTCTTCTTCTTTGGTGCTCGACACTCAAACCTTAAATGTCCCTTATTTCCACAGTTCCAGCAAGTTCTAATTTTCGACTTGCTTCTGTGTTTGGATTTGGATTTACTGCGATCCGAGTCTGATCTTTCAAAAGTTCTTCCTTTGCCCTCGGTATTGAAAATAGATCTAGATAATTCCCCTGTTTCCCTTCTATGAATATCTTCGTTGAGGATCAAGTCCCGAACTTCATCAAACTTCAATTTTCTTTTTCCTGAAGAACTACTCACTGCTGTAACAGTACCGTTCCAGCTTTCTGGTAAAGAGGATAAGAGAAGCAACGCCTTAATCTCATAATCAAACTCGATCTTTACAGAGCTTAACTGAGTCATAACAATGTTAAACTCGTTCAGATGGTTAGTCATTGAAGCGCCTTCTGACATTCTTAGGCTGAATAATCGCCGTATCAAATATACCTTGTTAGACGCAATGGGTTTCTCATACATATTTGAAAGGATAGTCATCAAACCTGCTATTATCTTTTCCTTTGCTATGTTGAAGGCAACGTTACGTGACAGTGTCAATTAAATGACCCCTAGTGCCTGCCGATCAAGAAGGGCCCAATCATCATCCTTCATCTCTTCTGGTTTTTTTTATGGAAAGAGGCTGATACAACTTCTTCTAATACAGAAAATCCTAAATCTGCATCTTCCAGAACCCAAAATCTGCACCATTGAACTTGTCGATCTTGATCTTTCCTTCTTCTGTACCCATCACTCCCACTCAAACCTAATGGCTCTGATACCAGTTGTTGCGAAATTAAACAGAAAACACAAGAAATAGATCAAACACACACACACACAACAAGAACACACAGATTTTACTTGGTTTACCCAAAATCCAGGGCTACGTCCAAGGGTTGCAGGGATTTCACTATGATGATCAAAAAACGGCTACAGATACAGAGAGTTCAGTATGAATAAATACTCTTACGCTAGGGCAACATAATAAGTGCGGAAATAACCAAAATACCCACCAAATAAGTTGGGCTTTGGTGTATAGTATCTATCAGGCTCCACACTACCCATCAGGTGCAACAATGTAAAGTTTCACTTTACTACTTTCCCTATAGGCTTCATAGTCATAAAACATTCTAAACACATCTAGGTCACACTTCACTTCTCTAAAGTTTTGCCACTCATAGGGTACTTTGTAAAAACTTCACTGATGTCCCCATATCCTAACTTACTTGCCATTCCTTGAATCTCAATCATTGACATCAAGTCAGGGTCTACTTTCTCAAACTGTGATATATTTCCTCTTAGGTATGTCACGGGGGGTGATTTCTCAAAAACACCCCCATGATGAAGTTCAATTGTGTAAATATCATTCATCTACAATAACAAATTACATGACAAACATGGGGGGTATCAGTTGAAACAATACCAAGATCTTTCCAAGGCATATAGTGCAGACATGGTAATATATAGTGCTAAGACAAAATTTAGATACCATAAAGTGCTTACAAGGTTATCACAGTGTTAAGGCAAAATTAAGGTAAATTAAAATCAAATTTTAATATTGAGGCAAAATTAATAACACATAGTAAGCACAAACAAGGAAGACATGATTAAATATTCAACATAACAAGTTGACAAAAAAAATTAGTAATACAAAAAAAAATTAAACACATGACAAGGACCACTCAACCATTGCAGAACATAGAAAAACATTTGACTCAAATAGAGGGACCCCAAATTACATACACTATACATATGTGTCTTCTGATGCAGACAACTTTTATTGATGGAGACCACAAATAAGCATTTTATAAGACTAAGCAACAAATATAAAAAGCACAAAAAACTCACAAAAAAAAAAAAATAGGACGATAAAGGCACCAAAAAGGAACAAATAACAATCATTGTCTCTGTCGAGTAATACTTTGTCAACATCAACAAAACAAGATAAAGCATAAGGGGTTTACACTTTCTATATATATAAATCAGCTAGAAGAAAACTGAAAATAACCACAAATAAGTATTTTATAGGACTAAGCAACAAATATAAAAAGCACAGAAAACTCACAAAAAAAAAAAAAAAAAGCTCGATAAAGGCACCAAAAAGGAACAAATAACAATCATTGTCTCTGTCGAGTAATACTTTGTCAACATCAACAAAACAAGATAAAACATGAGGGGTTTACACTTTATATATATATAAATCAGCTAGAAGAAAACTGAAAATAATGGAATAAAGTTAAGGAATTTACTGAGTTCCAGAGCTTGAAGCAAGACAGATCCTTAGGGGTCAGCTCGTATCAAGAGAAATTACTAGGGTTTTAAAACTACAGTTAGTGTTCGAGAGAATAAAGGAGTTGCAGAGAATGAAGGGGTTCCATGGCAGAGCTAACACTATCCTTCGTTATAATGGCGCATAAATGAGAAGGGTGGGTTGTGCAACGGCGCCAATTAGATAAGGGTGAGAAACCTTATCTTTAAATCGTGTGTTGTCGCAATATTAGTGGCCCTTCAGATTTCACTTTACATGTCAGAAATTTTAGTGTATAGACGTTGAAACTACGTCGTTTCTATTAAGGGTATAGATGTCTTTTGGCTTTTCCAACACCGGCAATTGTTCTAATGGATTTAATTGCAACAATATTAAAGTTCAGGGGTTTTTTTTGTAGTTCAAAGGGGTTACTTGCAAAACCCCAATAGTTCAGGGGGGGTTTATTGCACTTTTCTCAAATATTTATTAAGAACAAAAACTTCTAACTTATAAATATCTCTATCAAATTCCACAAGTTTCAATTTCTGCAACAAATTTTCAAAATCAATTTTAAACATAGACCACTCCATGTGCATTTAGCATCACTCAATTTTTTAAAACATGCAAGTGTCATCACCTTCTAATTATCTTCCTAAAGTGTTGTTCTCATCATCACGAAGTGTATCAAAATATGAATATGATCACTTCTTCAATTCCGCTTCCGATCTTAATCTTGACAAATCGAACAAAAAATTTACAACTCGATTGAACTTATTTCGACAACAAAATTTGCCAATTAGAAATTAATATCTCACAGCTACAACTAACTATCAACCACACCATATTATGAAGTCAGTGATCAAAGTTTCCCAATGTCAATAAAAAGTGATTTAATTTGAAGTCTTTGATTTCCTTGAAGATTATAATAGTACTTTGATTTAGAATATCATAAATAAGCCATACATTATTCATATATATCATGCTTAAACATAGGGGTTGTTGTTGTTGTTGTTTTTTTTTTTTTTTTTTTTCTCTCACACCTTAAACATGGTATTACTACTTCAACTTCCTCTGTTCAGTTCTTCGTTACAACCATATACAAAAGGGCGAAGTGCAGAAAACCCCCCTTTACTATCGATATAGTGCATATCAGTCCAGGTGTGGTAAAAAAACTCCTATACTATCGATTTGGTGCAAATAGGTCCCTGGGTGGTTTAAAATGTCCATAATACTCTCACTTCAGCTGAATAAATTAATGATTATAAATATAGGCCATGTAAAATGACATTTTTGTCCAAATTTATGTAAAATGATGTTTGTTTGGCAGAAGGATAAAATAAACCTTAAATTGTATAAAACATGATAACCTAAACCTAAATATAATTAAATGTAAAACCAAACATGTCCTTTCATATTTTAAAATATAAATAAATTTATCATTTATATATATATATATATGCACACATATATCATTAGGGCAAATCTGTTTTAGGGCAAATCATTTCAGCCTCTCTGCCTCCATTGCTATCCCCGCAACTGCAAACTACAAGAATCAGAAGTTCAAAACCCATATATTATAGTTTATCTATCTGCTGCAAGAATCAAAAGTTCAAAACCCATATGGGTATATCATTGTCAAAAAATCAAAACCATATCTTTCTGTTTCCATTGCCAGCTGTTCTAGTTCGGGTTCGCCGTTCGCAAGCTTCAGCCGCTATTCCAGTTCGGGTTCAACAAGTGACCTTTGATTCCGGCGAAAGCCAAGCTGCATTCCGAGCTCCTGTGAACTGATCGACAGCAAGCTTCACGGCCTGCTTGCCTTCTCCGGTGACAAATCAGTGAACTCATCGACTTGCATTCGACTACAGTGAACAAAACAACGAGCTCTGTTTCAGTTTTATGAGCTCACTGTTGCGTTTTTGCAACGGTGGGCCTAGGTAACGTGGACACGTTGCCGAACTGAAGTGGGTTTCGCTGAAGAAGAACGCACGGAACTGACATGGGTTTTGCAGAAGCTTGGAGCTCACCGGAACTGGCCGGAGTGGAATTCACCGGAACTGGGTATAGTCTTGGTAGGAAATACTGATAAACATTACCTTTAAATAATAATTAGAGAGAGAAAGAGAGCCAAACAGAATGATACAGACAAAAGTAAGTCATCATTTTTCAATAATAATACAGCTCATTACTATTGTAACAAAAATCAACCTCGTGATTAATGATGAAATCGAGACAAGATCCAGAAAAGCCCAGAAGGTGATGATCGATCACTGATCACAGTTTTAGAGAGAGATAGAGGGAGAGATCTGAAATAGTAATGGGTACTGTTTTGTTTTTTCTTTTTATTGGTTTCTCTATTAGAAATATATATTTCTTCTAATTCTATTTAATTGTCCTTGCAAATGCCTTCCCAATGACTCTGCAGATGTATCGAACTGTTAAAACCACTGACAAACCTGCCGCTTCCTCAGGTATGTAATTCGTATAGATTTGACTTTGCTTTCAGCTTTTCTTTCGTTTTTATCTTTTTCTTAGCAAACTTAGTTTAAATTGTTTTAATAATTAAACTCACTAATTATTTCATAATTTTGTACAATATAAATTAAAACCCATTTGGATTTGGAAAATCCAATTCTATCCCATTCTACAATTTAATCCCCATTGATTTTGTTAACATCATACATATATATATGTAATAGACTTCTATATATATATACACACACACACACATGCATTGCATAGAAATTAATCAATGGATATTTTTTTGATTGTTCTTGAAGGCCATTCAGATGGGTCAGGAGAGGAAGAAATCTCCCCAGTAGCCGGTGCAACGGATCTAGCCGGCTTCCATCGATTTATTGATCAAAGTGGGCCGTCTGATGGATCTTCACAGCAAGAAACAGACTACCTGTGGAGTAACTCTTCAAGGTGTGTGTAATGTGTATATACATTTCTCTCTCACGCACTTGCAAAAGCAACACTTGCACAATAGGTATATTAAAGAAGTTATTGTCTTATACAAAATTTATGTTATATATATATATTGAAAGGTTAAGCAATTGTATGTTGTATTGTCTGCAAATAAGTTAAGCCCCATTGTTAGACATTAATGATTCAATACATGATTCTCAAATGCAACAATTGCACAATACCCATATAATTGAAGCGGACATGTAGAGAGAGAGAGAGAGAGAGAGGAATTGGGTTTAGGGGTGGGGGTCCTTAAATGCACAATTGGTGAGGGCCTTTTATGCACAAATGGTGAGGGACAAAATGGAAAACAAAAGGGTAAAATGGGGTTTTCAATTTTAAAAGTGGTAAGAGGGACTAGTTATGCACATTTTTTTAATTTTGTGGATTTGCATGTATTTTTTCGAAAATTAGGGACTAGTTTTGCACAAAGTCTAAATATCAAGGGGGTTTTCTGCACTTTAACTGTACAAAAACAAATTAAAATGACAAGGAAAGCTTCTTCGTCCTCTTCTTACGTTATTAATCTAGACATAGACTTTGGGCGTCGTTGATCTTTAATATTAGGACAATGCTACTCCAACTTAATAGTCAAGCTCAATTGCTTGACCAAATAATTTGTCACCACTAAATGCATTAAAATTAATTATTAAAGATCATTAAAGTGGCCCACTTTGAATCACAGAAAGTTGAAAATAGTTGGTTCAAACAATTAGACTTCACTATTCCCTTAGAAAATTATTTCCCATGATGCTATGTGGTGTAGTCGATCTGGGGTGTTGTAGGTTGAAAATAGTAACAATTGCGATTTAAGGCCACCTAAAGACTGGCAGTTGTGTTTATTTAATTTATTTATTTTATGTATAAATATGTATGAAATGCGAGATAAGAATGAAGAAAGGATAAGTAAAACAAACTAGAATGATGAGCATTTCTTCTTCGACCGTCTCTTCTATCATATTCTGGGCATGCTTGTTCATGATTTGGATTATCATGTTTTCACCTCCACTGTTTGCCAGAAAATTTTTCTTTATTCCTGGCAGCTGTAAGTACTCTCTCTCTCTCTCTCATATTCACTTTATTTTTATATATTTTTATGTTTTGCAGACGAAGATAGTAAAAGTGGCAGAAGAATAAGTGAGCCTCGTCTGCCTCCAGCTAGCATAGAGCCATAGAAGTATAGTCAGTTAAACAACGAAAGCAGAGCTGGTTCACATGTAAAAAATCTAAGATACATATTGTGAGTCGTACGCAGCGAAAATAATTTAGAAAGTTTTTGTTTGTTCAAGAAAACAGATCTTCCTTAACTTTGTTTATTTTATGTTTTAACACGTAAACAGTTAATTACATGTAGATAAAATAATGCAGAGTATAAAGTTAGAAATGACACCAAGATTTTAGCGAGAAAACCCAAGTTGATAAAATACGTCAACTGTTATGGGAAAAATCTCATAGACTGTGTAATTCAAAATAAACCAATCCACTATGCTTGAAACAAAGTATACCGAATTTTGACTCTGGCTCACACCCTATCGTTCTACATCACACCAATCGCTGACGATCCTTTGACTTTGCGACTCCTCGTCCAACAGCAACTTAATCTCAGACTGACACTTGATATTTGTAGAAGAGTAGCAAGTAGATCAGATAACACTGCACGAATGCTCTAATCCTTTCAAAGTGTGATTGCGCTTACTTCTGTTCTTCAATTGTCTGAATGATTTAGAAGAAGATCTGATTCATCTGATCGTTGTAAATGTAATAGTATGATCACGATCAGGATTCGAACTACACAACTCTAACCTAACTAGGTGAATATGTGTATGTTCTAGGAAGACTATAGAAAAATCAACTTTGATTTTCTGAGAGGGATTTTCTTCCTAAGGCTCTGTATGATATATGAATAACGATTAAAAGCCATCTTTTAAACCTTGTGTATGACATGGTTTATATAGAGGTTTGCAAAGTCATATTCCTTCATAAAATAAAGGAAATCTCGATGGAATCAAAAAGGGATTCAGCAGAACAAGGTAACTTGTAAACCTGTTGCACTCAGGACTTGTGGAACCGGTTCCCATTCTTGCTACCGGTTCCCACTCTTGCTACCGGTTCCCACTTAGCAGAAAGTTATCTTTGAGGTGTAGCTTCTGGAACCGGTTCCAAATCTTGAATCGGTTCCCACTTGACAGACTCCAGCCTAAACTTGGATTGTCTGTATTTTGGTAACTCTGAAAATATACCATGTATATTTTTGTGTCCTAAGTGGGAAACAATGTATAAATCGTACTTCTTGCCTTTTCAACGATCAACAAAACTTTCCTCATCCGTCAACCTCTGAATTCCGTAGTCGATGTCAAGTTTGATAAAGTAAGTGACAGTACAACTCAACTAGGACTGTTTTGTTACCAAAATATGCTAATTTACAAAAATATATCTCACACATATATATTGAGATTTGAGAGCGTGTATTATATGCATGGTTTTGTTTTATACATTTAGTCAAACTAATAATGTGTCCAATGCATGAGACTATGGTATTCGACTCAATTTGAATTTTCTTTTCAACTCTTATGTAGGGAACTGTGATAATAAATTGGTATATAATTTAATCCTAAGAGCCCAATTGGTTCTGAGCTTTGAGTTGCTAGCTTAATTAATTCATTTATCCAAAGTCAATGTCTTTATATTTATCCTCGACTCTTTTGCTTTTTATTTTTATTTTTCTATTTCTTTATCTTGGCAAAATTACAAATCCACCCACTAACTTGAATCTTCAAGTGGTGAAGTCATCTAAAATATCCTACTATAGATCCAGGAATTTTTTTACCATGAGATTATATCTAGTTGGTTTTTCATGACTTGATCACACTTTGAAATATAGTAGCTCTCTAGTAAAATTTTGTATTTAGAAGTGACATTCTTCATAACATATTTCAAAGAAAAAAATTCAATCAAAAAGATTCTTTTATTATTTCAAACTTAAATTAAATGACGACTTATGTGTTTGCTTAATTAATTAATCTCTTTTTTGAAATTTCAATATTATACCTCCATATATAATATTAATAATTACATTGTAATTTCCAAGACCAATTTAGAGAAGTAATATTTTTTTACATTGATCATCGGGAATGGACATTCCAAGAAATTGAACTTTGTTTTCAATTTTTATTTTCAAGGCATTGAACTTTGTCTGCAACTATTATATTGTATTTATGCAAGAATTTCACATCGCTTATACATAACTTTATATATATATATATATTCTGTAATTCAACTTTATTAACCAGAAAAAGGAATATACAAAAAGATTGCAAGGCCCAACGGCCAACAAAAGCCAAAAGCTAACCCAAAAACAAGATCATTCCCAAAAGAAAGAATCAGTTACTATAGTAGAAAACTTCTTAGACTTCTAGGAGATAGCACCACTCCTAGGCAAACTCCAAGCAGATATTGACTTTGACATTTTTAAATTCAACTGCGAAGGCTATGTTTGGCCTAGCACAATTCATTGCACAAGACTGGCCAATTATTTGAGAACAAGTTGAGTTGCACTGCTGCCATCATTGAGCATTAGCTTTAAGCTAGATATAAGGAGTGGAATTTGATTTCACCTCTCTTCCTCTCAAATCTGTTGATGATCTTCTTCAGAATGTACTCAATAGGCATGAGTAAACATAAATGCAAAGAGCAGAGAACTTGCTATTCCCATGTTCAACCCCCACTATTTTGAACATTTTCTGACAAAATCAACATTTGCAGCCATATATTCAAGAGAATATGGTATACTTTATTTGTCTTTTATCGTTAATAAAATCTTCATCAACTTAAGTTAATTGTGTTGAATTGAGTCCAAACAATGCCACACCACCATATAGGAGGAAGACCATATATCTTCAAATTGTGGGAAAAAATGATTATGATAAATCACGTAAATAACTTGCACTTACATATATGGCCGAAATATAATTTTTAGCAAAACCTGGATCATAGTTTGGCAACACTTCTTAAAGATAGTCCAAGTCTCTCATAAGGTGTAAGGGATAATGACAGTTCTATCTCCAGGATTCAACCAAGCCTAGACTCGATCCAACCATAGTATATTTGCACGATACACTATTGGGTGCAACACTTAAATCTCTTTTCAGAATGCCCAAAAATATAAAATTAGAAGAGAGAACTTCTAAACATAGAGTTAAGAAAACTCAAGTATGAGATGTGATTGAACTTTCTCTATACTTCATCCACCTGTGATCCCTACTTTATTGAGGAAATTCATTTCTGTATTACACTTATCATGTATCTCATTATTGTAATGAAATGAACTCCGATAGGTCCATCATCAAATTAGATGCAATCAAATAGATTCATTGAGACTACCAAAAGTCTAGTGCAAAAACATCTCCTTCGTTCATACATGAACCACCATAATACATGTATATACATGTAAACACATTAAAAGCGTACCTGATTGTTTAAGGGGGAATGAATCAATATAATTTACTTTAATTACATAAAAATATATTTGAAATATATTATAATTATATTTTGAAACATTTTCCAACAACTCCAGCCCAAGTGCATGGGATGGCACTTGTTTTTGGAGGGCTTGAAGAACTAGTGGCATTATAATTCATTAGAAGGTAAAATCACAGAAATATTTTGGTGTTGAAGGTTGGCTTTCCATTTGAGGAGAGCTTTAGCTTCTTGAACAGAAGCAGAAGCTGAATTGGGTGAAGACAACAACACAACAAACAAGACTAAGGAAAACAAATGAGAGGACCTTCTCTAAGGTTGAAGACCCCATGGATTATGTTTGATGTGTTGCAAATGTTGGTTTAAAGCTCTTATTTATATACATCTTATGCTACAGGTCCAGGTCCCATACTATATATATTGGCTAAAACTACAAATCATACCATTGATCTATCAATATTTGTTCATTCTTTTGATCAGGAGATTGTTTCTTATAATTTTTTTGGATAGTAGAACCCATTCTGTCCAGTTTGGATGTATCTCATAAAAAATATTGTGATGTGTGAAAATTATTTCAATTTTTTTATGTAGTACTTCCCAAATAAAACGAAATAAAATTTACCGTTCACATAAAGAGTTTTTCTTTCTATTTTTCCCTTTCTATTCCACGGCATGGTGGTTCTGTTACTGTTTTCAGTATATTTTGTGCTTAAAAGAGTGCGGTCAACTTAAAAGATAGTTAAGGCTCCGGATTAGTGTGATTTTTTGGGAATTGTGTTTGACTGGGGATTGTGTGAAACGTTGATGATGAAGACAATATATATATATATATATCTAAAGACTTCTTAAGAGTGATAAAATAACTATGGAGCACACCATATTACGAAGTCAATGATGTGTGATCAGAACTTCCCAATGTCAGTAGAAAGTAAAATTTAGTATGCGGATATTCAAATTAAGATTTAACCTTTGATTTTCTTGAAGATTTATAATATCATTTTTTTGTTGAATGATAAAACGTTGACTTTTTTAATCTACTTCCAAGTTCGAACATGTGAGGCTATTTTGCTAAGCTAAAGAGTAAAGACCCTTTATTTTATGCTAATACTTTGATTTAGAATAGCAGAACTAAGCCACACATTTTTTTCATTAGCAAGAAAAATAAGCCATACATTATTCATATATATCATGCTTAAATATAGTATTACTACAACACCCTCCTCTGTTCAGTTCTTCATTGGAGCCATATAACAAAACAGATTAAAATGATAAGGAAAGCTTCTTGGACCTCTTCTTATATCATTAATTTAGGCGTCTAAATTTGGGTGTTGGTCTCTAATACTAGGATAAAGCACGCTATTCTAAATTAATAGTCAAACTCAATTGTTTGAACGAATCATTTGTCATCATTGAGTGCATTAGAATAAATTATTAAAGATCATCAAACCCATTCACTTCAAAAAAAAAAAAGTTGCAAATCAGTCGGTCAAACAATTATACTTGACCATTCCCTTTAAAAATAATTTTTCTCGATTCTCTAGCATGTAGACTTGAGCATTGTAAGTTGAAAATAAGCTTTCTTTTCCAAAACTTTTTTATTTGTATTGGAGACAAGTTATGCACATTAAATACTACGGAGATTGGTTAGTAAATCACAGATAATCATGTTCACATGTTTGTGATGTGAATAGTAGTGATTTGTAAAAATATCTAAGATTCATATACTGAGATGTAATATTTTTAACCATTGATTATCCAGAATGAACATTTCAAGGAATTGAATTTTGTCTGCAACTTGACTGTTGTGCTTATTATATCGTTTATATGCAACATCTTTACGTCGTTTATACAATAATGTTATATTACTTGTGTAACAATTATATTATATTGCTTATGCAACAATTAATTTTTATTTATATGTTACACTAATAAACTACATGCACTACGTAATCAAAGCGAAAGTTCCCTCCACATAAGGAATATGAATTCTTTTATTTAAAAGTTTCATTCGATGAACTCAAGAGCATAAATGATAACTTAAATTTTAAGTTTGAATCAAATGTTTTATAATTTAGAGTTTGCGCTATAATAAGATATCTCTCAAGCTACTCAATTTAAGTTATAATTTCACCCTCATTTACTATAAAAAATACTTTTTATGTTTCCTTTATTAAAGGTAGTATAACTATTATCTCACTAAAATGGGGAGAAAATATTTAACTGTGAGACATTTATGAGGGTGGAAATGTCATTCATCGCACAACTATTATTTCCATCTCTTGACTCTATTCACCATTTCATTAAAAATAACTTAGTTGTCACAAAAATAACAAATCAATATATATATATATATATATATATATATATATATATATTTCAAGTGATATCTGCCTCATTATTCTGAGTCGAATTCTTAAATAAATATATTCAGTTACAAAAATAAAAGGTCCAAGATTTTAGTGTGAAAGTAGTATGTGCATTATTTGTAATAATAACAAAAAAAGAAAAGTTTCTCTGTAAATGGACAAATGGTGTGAAAATGTGAGTGTGATTTATCTCTTGAAAAAACAAAAAAGTAAAATGGTGTGTGGCAATGTGAGTGTAATTTATCTGTTTTGTTTACTAAAAAAAGAAAGAAAAAAAAAAAGGAACAAAATTTAATTCTTCTAAGCTAAAACTGTTTTCGCAATGGACCTGAATCTTAAAGTTAATTATTCTGTACACATCATTGAATATTGAAAATTTAACACAAATTTACATACTCCATATTAAAAAGGCTTTTTTATTTTTATTTTTAATTTTGCTGTGATTCATTTTAAATGGGGAGAAGATATTAAGTGCATCAGCGAGCACATATTGTGCACGGTACGACTCCCAATTTCTACTCCGGCGGTTGCCTTTTAATCCTTCGGCAATAGAGAGAGACAAAACCTCCTTTAACTCCAACTCCACAACAGTGTCACTCTTCTCCACCAGTTCCGATCTGAAGAACGAAGGTATAGAAACCCTAACCCTAAAATCATCTTTATCTAATCACTCGCATCTAACATTTACGGTTTCAATCATCATACTGAGCGGCTAGTTTCTCACCTTAACCATTCTTCGACCGTTGCTGAATTCACACTTTTTTTCAACACATCCTTCACTGTTTTAAGAGAAAATTAAACTAAAATAAAAAAAATTGCTATAGATCGAGACCGAATTACATTTCTCTGATTTTGATACAATCTATATGGTTTGTATGTGTCACCATCCAAACTATAGATGGATAGAAAAGAAGAAAAAATAAGAAACGCATTTAATTTTATGCATTCACATTTGGGTGACGAAAATGGTTCTGTTATATACCGTGTATTACTGGAACTAATTACTGCAGCTGGGAATTGCTTCACTTCATTGTGATTTTGCGCGACTTGTGTTAACAAAACAGTCTTGATGTGGATTAATCCTAAAATTATATTATGTTTAGTCATAGAATTGTCACTTTGAAATATATTTCTTATCATTTTGTTTGTTTGTTTTTATTTTTATTATTAAATGTGATTCCTATTTTCGCATTCTTAATCATAATCTTTTGTTTTATTATTAAATGCGATTCCTATTTTCCCATATTCATGTTGTTACGATTGAATGCCCATAGAAGGAGTAATCACATAGGACGTATACGGGTAGAAGGTGTGGAGTTGTGGAGGGAGGAAGAGGTGCGTAGCGGGATCGTTTCTTTTTATTAGAAGCTTTATACAGAACCTTTAGGTTGGCTACCTAAGCTTGACGGTCTTCCTTTTGAGGCTATTTCTGAGATGGAGAGAGAGGAGCCTAGAGCTTCCTTTTACTGAAGAAGAAGTTCTAAAGGCCTTATCTAGTTGCAATGGGGCTAAAGCCCCGGGTCTGATGGGTTTACTATGCGTTTTTTATTGGAAAGTTGGGCGGTTGTGAAAAATGAAGTGATGAGCACCTTTCAGGAGTTTCATTCTACAGGTGTATTTGAGAAATCGCTTAATGCATCATTTATTGTCCTCATCCCTAAGAAGGGAAACGCTTCAGATATTAAGGATTTTCGTCCTATTAGCTTAGTGGGTTGTATTTACAAACTCATAGCTAAGGTGTTTGCTCAAAGAATGCGAGGAGTTATGGATGGGATTATTTCAGATTCCCAGAATGCCTTTGTTGGAGGTAGGCAAATTCTTGATTCAGTTCTTATTGCCGATGAATGTGTGGATTCAAGGTTGCGTAATGGTGTTCCTGGAGTTCTGTGTAAACTTGATATTGAGAAAGCTTATGATCATGTTAATTGGAATTTCCTTCTCTATTTGCTTCAAAGAATGGGGTTTGGAAGTAGATGGAGGACATGGATTCAGACATGTTTGTCGTCTGTTAAGTTCTCAATTCTTGTGAATGGTTCTCCAGCTGGCTTTTTTGGGTGCTCTCGGGGTGTAAGACAATGTGATCCATTGTCATCTTTTCTTTTTCTTATTGTTATGAAGGGCTTAAGCAAACTTATGCGTCGTGCAGAGAATCTTGGTCTCATCAAGGGATTTCGGGTGGGAAGAGATATTGCAAATCAAGTGGAGATTTCTCATTTGTTATTTGCAGATGACACTCTGGTTTTTTGTGATGCTAAAAGAAGTGTCCTAACTTAGATATTTGAGATGCATTCTGGCTTGCTTTTAGGCAGTTTCCGGGCTAAAGGTTAAAGTGGCCAAGAGTGTGCTTGTTCTGGTCAGGAATGTACAGGACCTCTCTTCTCTAGTTACAGTTCTTGGGTGTAGGGTGAGTTCCTTTCCTATCCCTTATTTGGGATTGCCCCTAAGGGTTTCTCCCAGATTAGTGGGGAGTTGGGATTCTGTGATTGATAGGTATGCAAAGAGGTTGGCAAGTTGAGAAGCAATATTTATCAAAGGGGGGTAAAGTTACTCTTATCAAAAGCACTTTATTATGCCTTCCCACTTATTTTCTTTCTATGTTCCAAATTTCATGCTCCGTTGCTGATAGAATTGAACAAATTCAAAGGAATTTTCTTTGGGGAGGAAGGGGAGAAGAGTTCAAGTATCACCTTGTTAGATGGGAGCAAGTTTGCAAGCCTATAAAACTGGGGGGTCTCGGTATTAGACGATTAATTCCTTTTAATCAAGCTCTTTTGGGCAAATGGTTGTGGAGATACGGGAAGGAAAGTCACCGCCCTTGGCGTAGATTAGTTTCCTGTAGGTATGGGGATGATGTTGGTGGATGGACTACACGTCCGGTTTCTATTGCGGTTGGAGTTGGGGCTTGGAAATTTATTCGGAAAGGATGGGATGCCTTTTCTCCTAATGTTAGATTCAGAGTTCGTGATGGCAGTCGCGTTCGTTTTTGGGAAGATCTTTGGTGTGGGAATCAGCCTTTATGTCGTACTTTCCCCAGATTATTTAGTATTGCTGCTGATAGACATGCCACCGTAGCTAACTGTTATCAGCTTGATAATAGTAGAATTACGTGGAATGTTCTTTTTCGGCGTTCTTTTCAGGATTGGGAGCTAGAAGATGTGAGCATTTTTCTGGATCAATTGTATCGGCAGGAAGGAATTGGCAGGGGTTATGACAATTTGACTTGGATTCCCTCTTCTCACGGTCGTTTTGAAGTAAGGTCTTTGTTCTTATGTATGTCTAATTTTGCATCCTATGATTTTCCATGGAAGACTATATGGCGCTCTATGGCTCCTATTAGGGTGGCTTTTTTTGTATGGACCACCGTTTGGGGTAAGATTTTGACGATCGATAATTCGAGGAAAAGGGGAAATAATTTTGTTAATTGGTGTTGCATATGTAAGCAGAACGGGGAGTCAGTCGATCATCTCCTATTGCATTGTTCTGTAGTGCACGACTGCTGGAATCTTATTCTTGGGTTTTTTGGCATGTATTGGGTAATGCCACGTTCTACTAAGGAGCTAATTCATGCTTGGAGAGGTTGTCGTGTGAGTAGAAGTGTTCGTGATTATTGGAGATCTGTACCACATTGCATTTGGTGGTGCGTTTGGAGGGAGAGAAATAGTAGAATATTTGAAGGAAATGAGTCGTCTACAGCGACACTGAAACTTTTTATTATTCGTTCTCTCTTCAGTTATGTGAACAGAAGTTCTTGTTCCTCTTCTGATGATTTAATTTCTTTTTTGGATTCTTTGGGGCCTTAGTTCCCGGTTTCTCTTATGTCTATGGGACGCGTTCCCCTATTGAACGCCTTTTTTAATTTATTATTACTTATCAAAAAAAAAAAAAAAAAATGTTGTTACGATTGAGCCTACGAAAGCTATTTTCTCATGCACTTTTGCTCACTTCCCTCTAAAAATAGTAACATACTTTAAATAGCTTATTTGTGTTTGGTAGACAATGACATGATATTGTTCTTCTTGTACCAGTGCTTGCCATTTTTATTCAATATTTTGATTAATTTTGTTTTTTGTTGTTAGTGTGTTAGTTGTAAGAACACTTATAGGCATGCATTTATTGGTTCATCACCCATCATGGACAAGGCTCATCAAGGTGATTGTCCAAGCAAAGTCATTTGATTATCCCAAGATTTTTTCTTGTAGATCCATTAAGTGAGATAATTAGTTTTTAGGTGATCGAGGTAGTTCATGTAAGCTGTTTTTACGCACAATGGTTAAGGAGGTCTAATATTAGATCTCTAACATTTATTTTGTTTTTTATTTCTTTTAACTTTTGTTTTTTTATGTACTATAGAATGCCACTACAGATATAAGACTATATGTTGGGGGGTTTTTATTGTTATTTGAAATGTTGGAATTTGATTAAAATCAATATTTGCAAACAGTACATTGTAGTCAACGGCTCCAACAACTTTAGCACCCATTTAAGAAAACTTAAGTTTGACAGTAACTTAAGCTTGGAACTGTCCCTAAAAAGTTTTGAAATGGAAGAAAATAAGTTGTTGCAAGAAGAAAAAAAGTCAAAGTAATTAAAGAGTATCAAGTTAGAACTTATATTTTGGCCCATGATTATGCTTGGAGATATGCTAGAATTTGAGGAGTGTATACCTCACAACTTTTGTATGCTATAGTTATTTTGGTCCTTGCTTAGGCTTGGAGGTGGATCTTGCTTTGTGTTGGAAAGTTGGTGCCTTTTGTTGAACAAGTAAGGTTTAAATTGCAGAAATACAAGGTGCTACAAGTCTCAGAGTCAAAATGCCATCACAGCTCTGTATGACAGATGTAACTTGTATTTTATGTCTAATATTTTCCTACCAAGTTTTCAGAATGGCTTAACTTGTGCTAGCAAGGAAGCCGCTATGCTATGTTTATAATTTAGAAGTCTATTCAAGTAAAATCTGAAGGCATCTCTATGGACTTCTTTGTATGACAGATCATGCTTCTTCATGTTTATCTGGCATACAAACACCACATTAGACGGCATCTAGACGGACTTCTTCCATCATAATAGCTCTCCCTAATTCATTTCTTCTTGTCCTTTTGATGCTCACTTGCCTGCATATTTTTCTTTGACTTGTGGACAGTTTGGACAAAAGGTTGTTGACGAAGAAGTTGGACATGGGTCGTGGAGTCAGCAGTGGTGGGGGACAGAGTTTGCTAGGTTACTTGTTTGGGAGTGGAGAGGCTCCAAAACCGGCCCCAAGTATGCCCAACCTGCTCCAAACGAAGAGCAGCCTACTGCCATTTCTCAACCAGTTGACGTTAACAAGCAGATTCCTGCAGGCATACATAGTAACCCCGCAAACAACTACTTCCAGGCAGATGGCCAGAGCAACGGCAATTTCATCACGGTATGTTCCAAATAGGGATTACATTTTTTTTTGATTTTTGATTTTTGATTTTTGATTTTTGATTTTTTAACAACATAAAACAAAAGTTTCTATTTCTAATGCCAATCAAGTAAGGTTTTAGTCATTCCTGTGTATAGTGTTTCAATTAGGTTCACTAATCCTTTTACATGTCATGTATGTGAATCAGAAAAAGTAGGGTTGGAGCATCAGATATGTGCTTATTTCACCCATATCTTTTGTGTAATTCCATTTCTTCTTTGGGAAGAACTAGAAAAAGTATGGTTGGGTAACCAATATGAACCTATCATTTCTTTCTTTCTTTTTATTTATTTTATTGAACCATTATGGATGAAGTCATTCCAGAGTAGTGAACTAAATTCATGCACTTGGAATATGGAAGGGCCAAGAAAGGGATTTTATTTGTTAAAAATATTCAAGCTCTGCTAGGCCTGAAATGGAATTTTCTGTAGAAGCTGGACTTGTTTGGTATGTCTAGTTTATTGGTGGTAAATCAATCCTTGTACACATTTCAAACAAGCATTTGGTTGTAAAATAACCAAAGCTTTTTAACATTTCCCCCCACACTTAGCCGTGCTTTATTTCTATGATTTAACTTTCTCGTACAAGTATTCCGACAATTTATGGAGCCAATTGGTTGAGAATCGTGTATTTTGTGCCACCTTTACTTTCTTTTTAGGGGAATGAACTGATTAACATATGGTGTTATGCATGTGGAAATGCACAAGAAAGGCTCTACAGGCCACTGTTTTACAAGTCTCTGACAGAGGTGTCTGTTAGTTTTCTTAAAAGTGTTTGGCACATTAACATTATGACTTATGACCATCTTGGCATAGAGAGCATTCCAAAGGTGGTTAAAAAATACGGTACACATCAAAACAAGTGAAAAAAATTATTTGCCGTCTCAGGTTCAAGATTTAGAGCAGCCACTTTGTAGAATTTGATGTCAAATGTTAGAACACACTGGGTAGGTGAGACATACACTAGATAATGCACATGGGCTTCAAAGAAAGAACAACTAAATTGAAGATTTATCTGGATGAAATTGACAATGGAAGGACAAGTTAGAAGTTCAAAAATGAAATTATAATTCTAGTGCAATTGCAATTCTGTCCATATAGAAATTTGAATCAAAATTGATGGTTTTAATTTGAATATCCTAGAGCAAGCAGAAGCTTAAGAGTAGTCCGAGTTCGGTGCATTTGAGGAATGTTATTTCATATAGGGGTGTGGCAGTAACTTCACTCCTAACTACACCTGCTGTTCTAAGTGTTTTGGGGATTTAAAAACACTCTCTTCCCACATGTGGGCTGTATCTCCTAACTGCTTTCCCAGTGGCTTCAGCCCTCTAGTTCCGAGGTTGTGGATTTTATTTCTGTTATCGGATGATTCAAAATTAATGGAAGCATTGATGAAGTCCATTTACATTCTCAGTGAAGTGCGATTTCAATATCAAATTCATGCATATGGCTGAAAAGGAACAGGTTGAGACATAAATATATGAGTATTTGTAGACAATAAAGAGGAATAGTATATTCAGCCCGTCTTTTTGCATTAGTGTCTGCCTCGTAATTAGAATTGTTTGAAGCCATAGAGCAAGCAAATAGAACAAGAGACAATGGGATTGAGGATTTGAGTATGTTTTATTGTTCAACCTAGCTAGCTTCTATATGAAATTGGAGGATAGATTAGCAGCTTGTACGTATATGCTGGATGGAAAAGGAGTGTGTGTTATGGTTAATGCACATATATTAGATGGTGTGTAATTAGTTATATATATATACACAAGACAAACAATAGGAGTACATTGTGCACATATATACAAGCTGCTAATCTATCCTTTATATGTGCATTAACCATAATACACACTACTTTCCATCCAGCATAAATTTACAATCTGCTAATCTATCCACCAATTTCATATAGAAGCTAGCTAGGTTGAACAAAAAACGTACTCATATCCTCGATCCCGTTGTCTCTTGTTCTATTTGCTTGCTCTATGGCTTCAAACAATCCTCATTACTAGGCAGGCTCTAATGCAAAAGACGGGGTGAATTTACTCTTTTTCTTTATTATCTAAAAATACTCATATATGTATGTCTCACTTTGTTTTTGTCAATGATGAGGGGTAAAAATTACAATGATCACATTCATTACAATATATATATTTTTGTAATGATTGAATTAGTTCTCTCATGCATGCATTCTCCATGATATTCAACATTAATTAAGATGACAGTTTCATGCATATATGAAAATAGATACAAAATACCATGTAGCTGATATCAGCATGGCGGATAAGAAATTACCAACAGCAGAGTTGATGCGAAGATTGTGTTTTGATTCAAGTTTAGAAATTATTTTTGTCTGGTGCTTCTTATGATCAAAATCTGTGTCCGGTTTTTTGCATGTCTTCTAGTGTAGTTCTTCACCAAGACTCAATGATAAATGTTTAAACATGATTGATGCTTGTTTGGTTGCAGGATCGCCCCTCAACTAAGGTCCATGCTGTCCCTGGTGGTGGGTCTTCTCTGGGCTACCTCTTTGGTGGTGGTGGGAACTGAATATGGCTTCATATTTTCGTAATGATCAAATTGTTTATCAATTCCGTTTTACTTTTTTGGAAGAGGTATGCTTTTATGAACAATTAAAACTTGCTTAATCATGTGATGTACGTTAAGTTGGAGTGGTCATTGGTGGGAGAAGGTTGGGCAACTTATGCATTAAATTCAGCTGATATTCAATGCTAGATGGCTTAAACATAAACCTCAGTGACATAAAAGCAGTTACAGCTAAGAGGAGTTGCATTTCTAATGAATGTCTTTTTTTATCAATTGTTCATTTTTTTGTCCTGGAGAATGGAGATTGTTGCCTATTATTATCTCTCTATTTTTCCCTTTCTATTCCACGGGCATGGTTGTTAGCTGTTACTGTTTTCAGTATATATATATATATTTTGCTTAAAGAGTGCCGTCAGCTTTTAATATCAGTACAGCTCTAGATCAGTGTGATTGTTTGGGAATTGTGGTTGGCTGGGGATTCTATGATAGGTTGATGCTGAGGAAAAAATATATCTATATCTAAAGTGTGGTAAATAAAACAGGGTATACTTATTTTGTGTTTGGTTTAAAAATGACAAAAGATAGAAAAGGAATGGAAGGGATTTGTTGATTGTTGACGCTTAAAATAGTAATTTTGATACATTTCCAAAATTGGGAAGATTTAGAAGGAAATGATTATCCATTTTGTCCTTATAGAGAGGGTGATGAAAGTTGTAAAAGTTGGCGTGGGATTGATGTGACGGGTCAGGAATGGCTATATTTTAGGGATTTGGTGAGCGAGAAAGTGTGTGACGGATTGCCGATTTGGTGTGAGAGAAACATAGAGAAGAGGGTGCTATGGAATGTGTGACTTCATACCTTGCAACTCTACAAGCCAATCCAAAGAAGTTTTTGAACTCTTTTCCTTCAAACTTCTTCCGTAGTTCCAATTCAAGGCCATTAAGAGTTAACTTCACATTCTCAGTTTTTGCAATAGAGACATCAGACATGGCATTTGTGCCTTGCTCTTTTGAATCTGGAAATGAAAGTATCAACAGATTCCCTAGGAAGTTGACTCAACCTGGATAAATTGGTAATTGATACTTCTGATTTTGACTGATAAAATTGAATGTGAAGCTTCACTTCCAACTATTGCCAAGAATGGACTATGTTGGCTCGAAGATTTATATACCAAGTAAATAATCTCTTT